TTAAAATATTAATTTTATTTTTTTATAAAATTTTAGAGATTTTTTTTAGATTTGTAAATTTTGCATATTATCTTTATTTTTTTATTTATTTTAAAATGCCTAGTTGTTAGAGAGCAAAAAAAAATATTGAATCTTCAAAGTTTTCTATTATAACATAGTTATGAAGATACTATTGTGCAATCAGCTTTGGATGAAATTAATTCTTTAATCTGTGTAATCTCTAACAAAAGATGTAATAACTTTTTATACAATCAACTTATTTATAAACAATTAGATGCCTACAAAATTCAATATATTTGGATAAACCTTCAAAAAACAACTATGAGTTAAAAGAGAGAGACTAATTTGATGATTTTCACAAAATATAATTCACATATTATATTATATAGTCATGTAAATCAAAACGATTGGATACGTACATATGTTACGGCATGTAAAAATTGTTGATGTTAAAGCATGTGAGTATATTAAGTTACATGCTGAGTTACATCTATATTAATGAAGTTTCACTTGCTTATATCTATGGGACCATGTTTTTATCATATAACTTCTAATAAAAACTTCTCATAAAAGATAAAGGTGTTCAATGATCCTAAGTGTATAATATATATACATACATGTGTGTGATTGGCTTCTAATGAGAATAGCTATGATGAGAAGGTGAAAGAAAAAAATTCATCTACTTTTAGTTATCTATTTATATTATAATATGACTGAAACTTTAACAAATTCATGCATGTAAAAGTGATTAAATGTATGTAAACGTTCGTAAAAGTGAAAAGAAATTTGAAGATAAAAGTAATTGAAGGTACTAAAAAATGTTGAAAAAGGTAAAGTTAAATTAAAAAGTCAAACTCATCCAAAAAACTCGTAGGTATTCTCACCATTCTCAAAGTAACCCTTATTCTTAGACGATCATCTACATGTATGTGTGCACAAGTTATATATGTATTATAATATAAGGTTGAGTTCACGTAAGTCCAACATGTTTTCATGAGATCCGCAAAACTACAAAATAACACTGAAACTTCATAGCGATTCACTGTAAAAGTATGAAAAACAACAAACCTTCACAAAAAAGAAAAAAAAAATGCAACGACGTGCCTTCACAAATATTCAAAATGTTCTTACTATTATGGTTCAATGTTATTTAAATGATTTCACAAGTGTCATGAAAAGTCTTATATATAAATGTGAAACAAATACCACAGATGAGGTAAGTTTTAATCGGGCATTCTGCCTACTAGTATATGTTTGCTTGTTGGGGTTGGGAGCAAAATCTATCATTCCAAGACTTTCTCTTTCATCTTTTCTGCACCTCTCTTTGGCAAAGATTTCACCTTCACCAGTCATAATTTTATATCAAGGTAACTTTCTTCCTCTCTTTTTGGTCCTTTTTCCAAACCCTAAACAAAATTGCCATTATCATAAAAACAACTTACATAACCATAATTAGACACACATGACGTCGGTAATAATTTGCAACATCCGTTTCGGTTATCGTGGCCTTTAATTAATTACCCTTTTTTTTATTGGAATGAACTTAAACTTTTAGGGGCTGATTCGTGAAGAACAAAAGTTCAGGGGTGAAAATTGCACCAATGATGGAGTTTTCATCGTCGTCGTCAAAAAGGGCCAAAACTCCGGCGGGTGGAAGTAATAATTTGAGTATTAGTGTTTCGTGTTTGGTTGATGGGTGCAACGCTGACCTTGGTCAATGCCGGGAATACCACCGCCGGCACAAAGTATGTGAGCTCCACTCAAAGACACCAAAGGTCACAATTGGGGGCCGGGAGCAACGGTTCTGTCAGCAATGCAGCAGGTACAAGTTTTTAAAGCATTCCTTTTAAAAAAAAAATTGAAATCACAAAAATCACCTGTTCCAAAATCACAAGTCCATGAATGAATGAGAGACGATTTTTAGTATCAGTATTTAAGGCAAGAATGATTTAATCAGGTTTCACTCATTGGGAGAGTTTGACGAAGGAAAACGAAGCTGTCGGAAACGCCTCGACGGTCACAATCGGCGACGAAGGAAGCCTCAATCAGACTCCATATCCAGAACCACCGCAAACTTCCTTTCAAGTCAACAAGGTTTTCTTCTTAATTTCACATAATTTTGAGCAATCAGGTCTTGGGGATGCTTTTTAGCAACTCAACGAGCTTAATTGAACCCACACTTATTCCATCAGCTATACCGAAGTCTGTTAATTAATATAAAAAGTGACTTGTTCGACGAGTTTTTAGGGACGACTTTTATGTAAAAAGATATGTTCTTTTCAAATATGTCCCTTCTAATTAGAAAACCGAGTTTGCCGTCTATGGAAAAAACCATCCAAACAAAAACCTTCCGAAGTTATGCAGACAAATTAATTATTCCAGACAATTTTGTCCGTACAAAACTTAATATAAAACCAATAAAACAGCCCTTTTAGTAGTGCTAGAAATAGGTAAGGATAGACCGTAATTTGTTATGTGAATAAGGAAATTTTATTCATTTATCTATTTATTTGTTACCCGTTTACCCGACATTTTAATGGATAGGTGGATAGAGTGTTTTTCGTTATCCATTTAATCATTATTTGTTTATACACACACACACACATATATATATATATGTGTGTGTGTGTGTGTGTGTGTGTGTGTGTGTGTGTGTAGGTGAAGGTTCAAACGCAAACACATCTGTTTTATAAAAATACGAGAACATTTGTGGTCCTCCAAATATATAATCCACAAATAATATAAAAAAATACAATAATTAATTAAAGAAAATTATGTGCTTAATTTCGTATTTATTTGCAATTTTGGTGACATATTTATCTCTAAAATCACATACAGATTATACGCTAACCATGTATCAAATAATTATCACATAATGATAAGACAAGTCAATTGATATAGACATGATCAACATTGGTTTTCGATTATCACAACAAGAATCACATAATTATTAGATAATTATCACATCATAAACAATCTTCAATTTATCAAATCATTATCACATAATTATCGAAAACGGACGCATCGACATAAAAAGTCTCTAGTGATAATAACAAAATCTAAGGGATAAAGATGGATCTGTGATAACAAAAAGTTATGGATAAATGCTAATTTATTTTTATTTATTTTATTTCTTATTATTTGTTAATTAATTTTTATTTTCATTTATCTATTTTTTACTATGTGTTAATTAATTTTGGGATCCAGAAGTCTTCTTGCATTTTCATAAAACATGGAAATTAAATATTAATATATTTTTTTTAGAATGTTATTTTATATGTTGTATAACGTATATTAATTGGTATTTAATTTTCTTTTCATATTCATCAACTAAAGGAATTAATTAGGATAATCAAATGAGAAAAAATATGTGTCGCTAAAATAAATATAACAAACATAAATGTTATCTTTAGATTTTTATATTGTTGTAAACTATCGCATTATAATATATTTAAAAAAATCAAACAAATTAGATATAAAATAAAGATTATATTTTACTTATAAGTTGATGTTTAACAATGTTATTGTAGTTCAAAATGATTTTTTTATACCATTATCTGTTTCGTTACCCGCTATCTTAATGGATAAGATATGAATATGAATAAGAGTTTTATGACATTAATAATTACCCGTTATTTTAAATGAATTAAATAACAAATTAACGCTTACCCTAACTTTTGAAAGCACTACCATTTAGTGGTCTAGGACTGATTTAAGCTTTAGAATTTTGGAGAAGCGGAATTCCAAGTGTTAATATTTAGGATTAGGCCTCAGCTTGTGTAATGATACAATTACAATTACATGATAGTTCATTTAAACCCATTACAAGACGGCTCTTCTGAGCCCAATAAATAAAAAATTTGTACTCACAGAAGAATTTATACAAAATTTTAGGTTCTAATAATACATGTTTTTAACTCATAATTCTCGGTGTGTAGTTTTCAATAATGTTAGAAAATTAATTATATTTAAATGAATTTTATATATTATTTTGTCATTTTAAGACATTTTTTTTGTTGCGTTTAATTTGTATTTTTTTTAAAAATGATAAATGATATCAACGGGTTGGACTTAACATATGACATCTCCATCGAATGTGTTTTTAAACAAAGTATCAAAAGTCAAATCTCTAATGAAAACTATATCTAACTCTAATAGTTATTCTATTTTATCATCAAAATATTGAATACATTTAATAAAATATTATTTATTTCTTACAAGCATTTCATTTTCAGTACATATATTGTTGGAAAAGAATTTAAAATATTTCATTCTCTTTTCCGTATCAAGTTGTAGAGATTTCTTTAAAGATAAAGATTTATATATATATATATATATATATATACACACACACACACATATATATATATATTCTATTTTATCATACAATATAGCATAACTATTAGAGCACAAAACTCTCCTAAATCACCAAATTTTTTATTATAACATAGCTGTTGGAGATGCTATGATTTGATTTTCTTATGTTTTTTTTTATTGTAGGTATCGCAAGGATTCTATCATTTAATAGCCCGCAGATACAATTGAGTTCCGTGGTGGGTTCAACTAGAGCCACAAGTTTTAAACCAGAGAATCCAATCGGACCTTTTAACAACCAACCACCCTTAAACTACCACACAAGACACCACTTGAACCTCGAGTCATCGACAACTCCAGTTGTACAAAACAGCAGCGACAACCACTTCAACTTTTTCCAGCACAGGTCACCACCGTTGGCCGTTTCTTCAAATCGTGCGGGAAACTCTCGTGCTCTCTCTCTTCTGTCATCACCCCCACCAGCACATCAAACTATGGCAACCACCATGTTCATTCCTAGCGGTATACCTCAGTATGGTTTTGCACACGAGATGCAAAACGAAACAATACTTTCGGGATCGAGTGCTACAACTCTTCAATTCCAAGGAATGTTTCATGATGATCAAGATGATTCGTCTTCAAGTGGGATTAAACAGCAAACGTTGTCGTTTAGGTGGGGTTAGTAGTTGGTTTTCATTTAGTATTTCTGGAAAATGTGTGTGTAGGCTTTCTTGTGTAATATGGAGTCATTAGACCTCTTGGCTCTACAAAATAATGGTTCATAATGAATGGATGTGATTAATGTAATGTTTTTTTGATTCATTACTCATCAAACATTTAATTCATGTAAGTATTTGATGTCATCATCACATATTTTAACATGAAAATTTCACACTCTGGATTTAAATCTTAAGAAAAAATATTTGTATACATAAATAGAGAAAATGCAGGAACTTGATAGGTTTGATTCGTGCTATGATCGAGAAATTGATTGAAGCTTGCACCGAGCATTGTCCTAAGACAAAGAATTTGCCAATATATATAGCGTTCGTCTAGAGGGTAGAACAATCGGATTCAAGTATGTTTGGTAATGGATTTTTGATGGAAAAAGGAAGAGATTTTTATCCCAAAATGATCTGGTATATATACAATCCGGTCATAACCAAAATAAACTGCTAGGGGTGGACGCGACCTAACCCACATAAAAACCCACCAAAGTCTCAGTTTCTTCGTGTTCCCAAAGGACGAGGCCCTACCTTTGATATTTAATATGCAAATGTCATTTATAAAGCCAAAGGACACACTCAAATCCAAGTCCATGTAACTCACTCATTCATTTAAAGGCCAAGCCGATGGCTTTATTAAGTGAGTTTTTATTTGACTTGGTTTTATAAGTTATTTTTCCTAATAAAAAAGTTCCAACTCATATATATATATATATATATATATATATATATATAGGGAATATATAATATAATATATATGATATTGGTATTGTGATGTTTTATATAAATTATTGGTGATACGCATATTTACTTGAGTCTGTTGTTACATTTGCAAATTAAAAAAAGGAGGTTGGAGTTGAAATTCCAATTGCTAGGTTCCAATTTCCATCCATGAAAAGATAAAATTATTTGGAGAAGGTTCTTGGTGATCCAAAGCAACAGTAAAGTGAATTATTATTTGGTATTAGGTAATGAGGAATATGCCATTTTTTCACTTATTGGGCATCAATCTCTTTTCTCTAGTCTCTCTTCTATACACATGAGATTGAGATTGAGACACCCCCTAATAATGGCCTAACCGCCCATCCACTCTCATTAATTCTTTTTTCAACGGAATAAAACCTGGATATCGTTAAAAGCATCTCCAATTAAAGAATCATTCTTGAATTTTAGGTTTCAGATTACAGTTGATCAGCTTTCGGTATAGTTATATGCAATATATATATATATGCATATATTCAATCGATTGACAAAGCCAGTAGTAGATCTAGAAACGAGAAAAGAGTATGGTCGATTAGAATTTATGATTTTTGAAATATAATTAGATAAATAAATATGTCTACGCAATACATAGAAACTATACATGTGCGTGTGTATCAGGTTTTCGAATAGGTCTGGTGGCCTAAATCGAACCCAACCAATCGCCTCAAAAGTTGGATTTCGGATTTTGGGGCATTCGGGTTTCAGATCATTCCGGTTTTGTACACCCCTACCTTCAACGGTTTATATCAAATTCCCTTAAAATGAAATAAAAAGTCAAAATCTCTAAATAACATTAGTATAACTTTAACATCTTTTCTATGTCCTAAATTTCAATATTCATTATATTATTAAAATATTTAATAACATACATCCTCTTTTTCCTTCGTTTAATCTCATTAGTTTATTGGAGATTAATTTTTTGTAAATAACAAAATGGAGTTTTTGAAAAAAAATCTAAATTTGAAGAAAAATCCACTTTGTTTTTCCATTTTAAAGAAATTGTTGAAACGCAAAAGATTAAGATAACATATACTCCAAAAACCTTCTTTTTTTCATTTTGATGAAGTTGTTCGAGATGCTCTTAGCATTTAAAGATTAGATTAAGTAATCATTTATTTCTTAAAAAATAGAAGTTAAAATCTTGTGTAATAAAATATGTATTTTCAAATCATCGCGGAAAAAAGTAATTTTTATTGTGATTTTTTCATATGTTTGAAGATGGATAATTTATAAGACTAAAAATACATCAAACGGTCATTCGTTTAACATATATATGAATTATCGGTAGAATCTAATATTTTAAGAAGTTAAAAAAAAATATATAAAATAAAGTATAAAGATTTAAAACAAATAATTTTAGGTGTAATGATTGAATTTAAAAAAAATGAGAAATTTGTATTGAAATTAAACCATGATCGATATGCGAAACATAGAATATTTTGTTCAACTTTGTGAACTAATAATTGACTATTTCCTTTATTCCAAAAACAAATATTCACTCTTTCACTTTCCTTTACAACAGAATATTTTGATTTATAGGTTTTATAGTTGATTATTGATTTTTATTATCCTACCCTTCCATTGCTTATTTATCTAAGTTTTAGTAATCCTTTGTTAACAGCAGCTTAATGGACTCACAACTCATTCAGTTAGTCATACATGACTATTTGATAATGGTTTAATGATATAGAAAGTGACTTATTTAGTAATACGTTTTTGTAGACATGTCTTTTCCAATTAAAAAAAAATACGTTCCTTTCATCTATGGAAGAAATACTTTCAAACAAAAAGTTTCTCGATCTAGATAGACTGATTAATCCACACTTACAATTATCTCATACAAGACTTGTTGGAAAACCAATCATATGGCCTCTTTTTGTTAGACTAAAGGATATAATCATCTTATTGTATTAAGATTAGAAATCTTCTCCCTTATGCTCAATTTTTTTCTCTATAAGTGATATGATGGTATCAAAGTATTATATAGTTACATATAATATGATTGGAAGAATATCATCCCAACAGCATCTTAATTATATAAGCGTAGAAAGAGACCAGGGAACAAAGCTAAAAGGTCTATGGTCAATCTACCTTATACTTCTATAAATCATTGCTTGCTTCACCTTCAAACTACAACATCTCAAAACATGGAGACAACTTCTAAGCAAAAAGCTGCAGGGTTTGTCAAGAATAAGCTTGTTAGTACCTTCTACAAGACCACCAAACCACCACCACCTCCGTTGCCAATCACCGCCCCCTATGGTGGTGGTGCCGCCATCATCACCAATCCTAGTCACCCACCTACCTCCATGAAAAAGGTTCCATCGTTAACAAAGCTCACAAACTTCTTTGGTGGGTCGTCGGATGGTTATGTTCATGGACCTGGTGGCAGTGGCGGCGATGCTAAAGTTGACATAAGGGCTTCCAATTACATCTCGTCTTTCAAAGAGCGGCTTATACTTGAGGAGCTCAACGCCACTAATGAAAGAGTGGAAATGTTTAGAAGGAATTAGTTAGTCGTCTATGATACGACTTGAATAAATTGTGTTTTGTTGGGTTTTTGGTGTGTTTCGTGTGTTTTTTTCCTCTTGTTTTCCAAGTAAAAAGAATTGCTTGATGTGAAGTTCGATTAATCGAGCTTATCACAGAATGATATGACTGGTTGTGTCGCTCGTGTTGCTTGAAGGAAAAACATATGTGAATTTTGTGTAATTGTATGCTCAAATAATCAACAGAAATATATTTCAATTGTATAACTTCAAAAATTACTTAGAATTTTACAATCATAGCAAATGTAGCATTATTCTGATACCCTTTTTAATTAGATTAATTAATGAATTCAAAAACTTCATGTTTTTCTATTATCTATATATGTACAATATTAAAAAAGAGGAGTTACAGTTATCTTGAGTTTTTAAAAAAGTACGATCAATTATGAATATTGTACAAGCTCTTAAAGCTTACAATCTTCCATCAAATCGTTTTCAATTTTAAAAAATTACATTTTATATCTTTATAATTAGTCATTTGATTTATTTCATATCGCTTAATTTTTCATTCTACACAATTATCATATTAACATGAATAATTGTATATGAACTAAAATGCATTTAAAAAATGCCTTCCTTTTTCTACAAATTACACAATTATAATCGCCTAGTCAATGCTTTCGAATCGAGCACAATATTGAATATTTTTTGGATTTAATAATACTATTAAATATCATGAATACTTACGAATTAATTTGTTTTATATCCATACATTTTAATTTTTCATTTTACAAATTTATCATATTAAAAATGTATAATCATATATTAACTAAATATATTGAAAAATGTGTTTTCCTTATTTAATACATATTATACCATTATTAATTGTAAGTAATTGGTTATAAACCATCACATAGTGCTAGAAAATCCGTTCTTATAGATGGAGTGAAAGACCTTATCGTTATCGTCTTGGAATACATGCTTGAGGTCATGCAAATCAGGAAGAAGGATAATCTGAGAAATAATCCTGCACTTTGAGGTATTTTTTTAGGATCTTTATTTTCACGGACAATCTTTATCTGTTTCTTGCGGTTATTATTTTTACCTTATTTAGCTTTGAGTAGAGGTGTTCACGGTCCGGTTTGGGATATTTAACCCCTCAAACCACAAACCAAGCCGCAATGACGATTTAGAAAAAATTCAGTTGGTAACAAGTCAACAAACGGGTCAAATCGGACCACAAAAAAAGGGTATAATATAACCAGTTTAGGAGGTTTGGACCTCTTATGGGCTTTAAACTAAAAAAACATAACATTTATATTCAAAATGAAATTTCTACCAATAGAACTTTATTAAAATTTAGTATACTAAATTATAAAAATACGTCTATCTTTAAGATCTAAAAACAAACATCGATCAAGTTGAAAAAAAGTTAAACAAGTCCACAAAAATTACGGACAAATTTGAGCAAGTGGAATGACAAATTTGAATATACTATGTAACAGATTTTAGAATGTCTCCATTTTAGATAACATGTTACATGGTCAATCAAGAAATTAAAAAACTAAAAACATGTCTTTGACGACTTTTTTTAGTTGTGTCATAAAAGTTGATCCTATAGCATAAACTAAATATAATTAATATATATGTAATTTTTTACGGTCGGTTCGGTCCAGAGGGTTCAAAAAAATGATCAAATCGCATACC